ACACCTACCTAATTTATGTCGATGATGTCGTCAAGTTTTCGGTCACCTTCGAGGAACACTTGAAGCGTCTGCAGGCTGTTCTGGAAGACCTCCGCTCTGCGAACCTCACGCTGAAGCCAGAAAAATGACACTTCGACTATAAAGAACTTAAATTTCGGGGCCATGTTCTGAGCACAGACGGTGTTCAACCTGACCGGACAAGACAACCCCCGTAGCCTCCTTTTCCGTTCCCAGTGACAAGAAAGCAGTACGTCGCTTCCTCGGCCTGTGCGCCTACTATAATCGCTTCATCGCCAATTTCTTTAGAATTGTCGAGCCTCTGACTCATCTCACACATGACTACTAACCATTCATTCAGAATGAAGAACAAACCGCGGCTTTTAACGATCTATGTGAGCGTATGCAGCCACCACCAATTCTTTCTAACTTCGATGAGAATGCTGCCAACGAAGTTCATACCGACGCGAGCAATGTAGGTCTTGGCACCATGCTTGTCCAACATCAAGGTACCGAGCGCGTAATAGCTTATGCCAGCCGTACCTTGTCTCACGACGAGATGAACTATTCCACTTCAGAGAAGGAGTGCCTAGCAGTAGTGTGGGCCATCATGGTATTCAGGCCTTACCTCTACGGTCGTCACTTCAAAGTAGTCACTGATCATCACTCATTGTGCTGGTTAGCCAATTTACGAGACCCGTCTGGGCGTCTGGCATGATGGAGTCTTCGTTTGCAACAACTTTACCTTACCATTGTCTATAAATCAGGCTGCAAGCACGAAGATACTGATTCCTTGTCCCGTGCACCTACTGGAGTTTGTGATCGCGACAATGACGATGGCAGCAACTTCCTTGGTGTCTTCACTGTAACAGACCTGATTGCACGGCAACACGATAACGTCAAGATTCGCGCAATCATTGACAAACTAGACGGACGTAACAAACCCGTATCTCGACACCTTTCTCGCAATCTCTCTTTGCTCTGCCTACGGAAGGGTGTCTTGTATAAAACAAACTCGAACGACAATGAAAAAGCCTACCTGCTCGTGGTACCTTCTGACATGCGAGACGACAATCATCTGGCCTGCCATGATGACCCCATATCCATTCATCTAAATTTTTCACTAACTCTTGCCACAGTTCAACAGGCGTACTACTGGCCGAAACTTGCTACGTAAGTCAAAGGATATGTGAAAAGCTGCCGTGAATATCAACGCCGCAAATCTTCGCCACTGAAGCCTGCAGGCCTGCTGCAACCAATCACACCATCAAGGGTGCTGTTCGATCAAATAGGAATGAATTTACTGGGACCATTTCCTCTCTCATCCGTGGATAACAAGTGGATAGTTGTAACAACAGATTATCGAATGAGATACGCCGAGACAAGAGCCCTGCAACGAGCTACAGCTTCCGATGTTGTCCAGTTTTTGTCGACCAGATTGTTCTTCGCCATGGCGCCTCGTCTTGTGGGATCACTGATCACAGAACAGCTTTCACGACTCAGCTCATTGACGAAGTATTCAAACTAAGCTTCACGAGTCATCGCAAGACGACGGCGTATCATCCACAGACTAACCGCCTGATGGAGCGACTTAACAAGACCATCGTCTATATGTTATCCATGTATGTGGATGTTCAGCAAGAGACGTGGGATCTGGTCCCCCCATACAAAACATTCGCGTACAACACTGCCATCTAAGAAACGACACGATTCACACCGTTCCGTCTCGTCTACGGGCGTGAGGTTCAGACTAAGCTAGACGCTATGTTGCCACACGATTACGACGGGTCACTTACACCTGACTCAGAGCAGCTTGCTCAGTATGCTGAGGAAGCTCGACAGTTGGCATGCATGCATATCATGCAACAACAAACTGCGGATGCAGTTCGCTACAATCTTTGCCATCAACAGGTCGATTACCACCCAGGAGATCTAGCTTGGGTATGGACTACAGTTCACTGCCAAGGGTTGTCCAAAAAGCTCCTGAGTCGCTACTTTGGACCCTACAAAGTAGTGCGTCGCGTGAGTGATGTGAAATATGAGGTCGTCCCAAACGGAACCATGTCGCCCCAGCGTCGAAACCGCTACCCAGAGATTGTTCACGTTGTACCGCTCAAGCCATACTTCATGGGTTAGTGTGACCGTGCCTCGGCCTTGTTCTTTTGTTGTTGTTGTTTCTTCAGTGTGCCCACAGTGTGCACGTTTGGCTTACTTCTGCTTAAGCACTACCATTTGCGCAAGCATCGGGGCGATGCTTTTTTTTTCAGTGGGGTAATAATGCCACCTGGCCATGAACTGCGGCAAGCGCGAGCCTGCATCCAGCAGAAACAAACGAAGAAGTCATTTTTAAAACAGCACGTGCTCTCGCCGAGGCTTTTTGGTTGTGGTGCGTCACTCACGTGCGTCTCTGCGACTACGCGGTATTTCTTACCCAAAATCCCTCTTTTTTCACATGCGACGCTATAGGAAATTAGCGACTCTATAAAGAATGGCAAAAACAACAACGTGATATCATCAATAATAAGGTTACTGCCACATAACCCACAAGACATGAATAACAATTTTATTTAATCTGCTATGTTAATAACCAAAAAGATTTCAGTAAAACCTTACCAATTCCTTTTAAATGGAGTGCATGCATATGACTTCACTGATAAGTTAAACCTCGATATAACAAACACTGATATAATAAATTATAGTTTCAGAAATGGAAGGTAACAAGCTACCTTCAATGTTAATTAATGTACTGTGTGTTTCCCTATCAAAAAAGAGCGAGATAAAGATTGTATGGTAAGAAAAGGTTATTTATACATTCTTAAATGCAGACAAAACTAGCAAAGCACATATTTAGATTTGTTGCTAAACACCAAGTACTAAAAGACACAGTGCTTTCCGATTGAGACCTAGACCTAAGACTGAATTTTATCAGTCTGAAGCGGTAATTCTGTAAACATGTGACTTCTTTGTAGCAAAGTAGTTAGCTAGAACAGAAATAATGACAAACAAAACACTGCAAGAATGGCTGAAACACGAGCTTGGCCTACTCGCGGCTGTGCTGCTTCAGTTATATGAGTTAGTGTCTCTCCTCCAAAGCTTTTCTTAGGGAGCCTTGAACTGCGTGCCTCCTTTAGAGTGCAGACACTCTTAGGAGCTCAGGTTTTCACAATGCTGTCATTGTCTTGCCCCTATCTCTTTGGGCACTCAAAGAGAGTGAGGCAATGTGGTGGCAGTTGAGCCAAAGCATATGTTCTCACCTTAAATTGTAGAAAGCAAATATTAAAAGGGTATAGACACAAAGTTTTGCGGCCAATATAGCCTGCAGGATTGATTCCTATGAACCTGCGTACACTCAAATCTCAAAACAAACTCACATCTGCCACAAAAATATGTTGTTATATCGAAAACTTCGTTACAAGCAATTATTTGCAAGAGCGTATCTATGGCAAAGCTACTGGTCACTTACTTTGTTATAATCAATAATTCGTTACAGCAAATTCGTTATATCAAGGTAAGAGTGCATATCATCTGCAAAATATCAACAGCTAGCTTAGAAGGTATTTTAGAGCAATTTTGAAGTCTAAATTTTGAAGGTATTGGCACTATCTAAAGCGACCCCATAACCTAACTTCCCTGAAGTAAATACGCTGCAGTCAATAAAACTAATTATGATAACGTCACAGTTGCCATTTTTCTTTTGCCGCGTTTGTTTCAGCAGTCTGTACTTCTCAGCGACTGATTGCAATTGTGTGGTTGCGGCACATGTATTGAAAGATTTGTGTTTTGTGACATTGCAGTCCCATTTCCTATACAAAAAGACTTCTTGATGCGGAACGTGCAGAAGTGCGTGACAGTTGTGTGCTGACAAAGTTGAGAGCTACCCACGCTAGGTGGCAATAGCTGCACACCGTAGCTTGTTGTTTTAGGAGCTCTTTCAAACCGGAACTGCAACTTGTCAATAATTAGGAGCCTGTAATTTATTATCTGTCATCTGCTGTAGCAAACAATGTGGCGGGTTATGAATAACACGCCCCCAGCAAAACATTTCAGAAAAAAAAAAAGAGCCTAATATTTATGTGTCAGTCCCCTTTAAGGTATTCTATCTTTTTCTCATTCGTAGCGCCATCTGGCTACAATAATGATACCTCATATTTTATGTCCCAAAGCCACAATATCATTATTAGGGACGCAGCTGTGGAGGGATTGCGATATTTAAACCATCAAGTGTTTTTTAACAAGCACTCACATGACACAGTACACGCATTAAGCATTTCACCTCGATAAAAATGCAACAACCACAGCCAGAATCAAAGTTACAATCTTTGGGTCAGCAGTTGACAGCTTTAACCGCAACTGTAGCAGAATGCCATCTGGCGGACACACTGTAAAGCAGGAATAGGTTTTGCAGAATGTGGTCATTTGAGAAAAGTGGGGTCAGCATTCTTGTCTTATCTTACTCCATGAAGTTGTCCAGATGGATGCATTTTCAGTGGTACATAGTGCATCTGGCAATGCGTTTTCTGTTCTCTTGTTTGACCATGATATATGCTAATACACTTGAAACCATTAATGGAGGTCAAGTAACTGTGGTTTAACTGAATTAACCTCATGCCACTATTTTTCAGGGTTTCAAAAGCACTTTGGAATAAGTAAAGCATCTATTTCCCCCATCTTTGCAAATTGGCAGCTTCTCATAGCTTCACCTGACCATCTATCTCATCTGTATTACCTGGACATAGGAGGCTTATGTCTTGGCTGTCTTCACGATCTTTTCACATGCCCAGGCGTGTGTTAGTGACAAAGAGAATGCTGTGGTAGCTTTTGGATGTTGCACCTTTAGATTTATAAGAACTGAAATTTTTCTCTTGATGCTACGAAATTTTTCTCTTGATGCTACAATCTTCTAAATTGAATTCAAAAATAGTTATCACTTTGCTATGTCACATTTCGACTGCAGTGCAAATGGTGTGAATTGAGTTCAGTGCAATTTAATAAAGAGAAAGTGGTTTGAGAGCTTACATACATACTTTAATTATTGCAATTCTAGTACAACATTGGTTTCACAAGACACTGGAAAAAGGTAAAGAATAATTGGAATTTCTATAAATGTCTGTGTAACAGTTCATAAGCATCAGTAGAGTGTATATGACCATCAATGGTAAGCTTTTGGAAGCCTGATAAAAAGTTTAACCAAAGTTTAATGTAAAGTCTGATAGAAATATTGGCATAAAGCTCAGCAGTGAGCACCAAGTAGAACAAACTCTGACAAAGATCGTTACCAGTAAAACCCATCAGCAGAAAGTTCAACAACAAATTACCAACAGGTACAAGTATTTTTTAGCCTTCGCGTTTCTTAAAAGTGCTAAGCACAACCCCATTAAAATTAGTTTTTTCCCAAAAAACCACGCTCTTGAAAGTCCTGCATGTTCTTTGTAAGCAGGTGTGTCCCGTTTTGTTTCATTTACACAGAACTTTTAGCAGGAGAACATGCCTAGAGCATTGTACCTCGTCTTGTACCAAAGCACTCTCATTGTTTCTTTCTTAGTTGCACAGTGGACCTAGATTCAAAAAGTGCCCTTTGAACATCCTCAAAGCTTGAGTGCGTATATCATACAGCACTCCACCGTGAAAGGGTGCTGGCTTCGTGTGATGGTAGGCGCGAGCTGTGAAGTGATGCAAAACTAGTCATCCATAACGACTAGCATTAACCATATGATAAAGTAGAGCATTTAGAATTTACTTTCTGGTTCATCAAAGAAGCGAATAGAGAAGAGTTGCATGCACAAAATACATATGCTATAAATACTTTAAGCATAAAATCAGTTAAAAAAACAAAGACCTGAAATAAGCCGTCCATGTGCCAGGCATAAAGCAAGTTTACATTTAGGATGGCGGCCAGTTGGGCATGTTGGTATAAGCTCATGATGAAACATGTGCCAAAAAACTTAACAGATTGTGAATTTGCTTTTTGTTTGGACGTAACATGACAGCGCATTTTTTTCTTTTTTTGTTTGTTTGGGGGGGTGCATAACACGTGTTTTTCTCCTCCCGATTGTAAGCCATTGATTATAGAAGTGGTTTTTTTAGTTATTTCACGTTGATGATAATAGGGGCGGTTTGAGATGACATACATGTGTGTTATGCATATATATAAATGGTCGTTTACAAATAAAGATTTTCACTTGCTAGTAAGCGCTCATCCTGAGTTCTTTCTCAGTATTTGTACTTTTTGGCCCTTGTTTCTTCAAGTTTACTTGTTCGTGGATTTTCACATACAAAAGTTATCAATGACACCATCTTTAGAGACACAAGAGTATTTAGAGACACAAGAGTTCACAAGAGTATTCTATATATGTAGCTCAAACGCCACCAGGTGTTTTTTCAAAGGTGGTTTTTAAAGGTGGTTTTTCAGCACTGCTGAAAAACCACCTGAAGTTAGGTGTTAGCTTAAAATATTACAGCAAAAAGTGGCAGCTATAAATGTGGCAGAACTCGAAACATACTGCAAACTCGCGAAGATGTTAAATATGGGCACAATAGAAATTCACCAATACGTTGCTAGCAGCACAATCAATGGAGAGATTTCATGTGAGCTTTCAAGTGACTGCTCTGCACAAAAGTCTTGGAGCAGAGAGTACAGCTGTATGGTCGCTCCCCTGTGTGGAGGCGTTCGTGCTCTGTTAGGTGGGATTTGTACAAGAAGCTTTGTGGACAGAAGGAGCACTGAAATGGACGTTCACCAGCATGAACGCTCAAGTGACCTTTTAGAAGATTACGGTGCGAGAAGGCTTGAGAGCACAAATGACATTTAAATGGTCGCTCGCCTGTGTGCATCCGCTGATGTTCCGTAAGATGGGACTTCTGTGCGAAGCTCTTGTCACACGTATGGCACTGATGTGGCCGCTCGCCAGTGTGAGTGCGCATGTGTATTTCAAGATCGGAACACCACACGAAGCTTTGAGGGCACAAATGACACCTGGACAGTTGCTCTCCTGTGTGGACACGTTGATGTGCTGTCAGATGGGACACAGTTGTGAAGCTTTTATCACACGAAGGGCACTGATGTGGCCGCTCGCCTGTATGAGTGCGCAGGTGTTTCTTGAACCTGCTATTTGATGGGAAGCTTTTAGGGCACAAGTGGCACTGAAACGATTGCTCGCCCACGTTGACCTCATGGCGCATTCTTCTATTGGATAGTCCTTCAGCCGTATTGTCAAAGAAGGAAGAGCGGGGTGGGTGTGGCTGCGATGACTGGACATATGGGAGAGTCACTAGACAGCTGACGTGTCCCTCTCCTGCATAGCAGAACAAGACGATTACTTGAACATCACTTGTTTCACGCTAAAACAGTTTTTTTTTTTGAAAACTAAGGGAAAAAGATGATGGTAATGAATGTCACAAGTTCTGCCTTTTTTCAACACAAGCTAAAGACAGTTTAAGGTTCACCATTCTTTTTCACTAGCTTTGCATTATTATTTGATTACAGGATGCTCAGATGTGTGAAACCATCATAAACACACATATATAAGGAGAGAGATTGATTCAATTAAAAATATAGTGATAGTTACATTCTGCAGAGAGAGCTGTATTTACTGCATAATCTGCTATCACAGAGAAGTATGACATTCATTAATGTCAGCGGAGCTTTAACATCCTGAGGTTGTATTATAGATAAACATAAATACCGTATTTACTCGCGTATATATATATATACATATATATATATTTTGTCAGAATTCATTGGATGTCATCTTCCTTATCTGTCAACAATAACCATCATCGGTCTTCATCGTTCCGTTCCTCTTCATCATCGGCGCCATCTTGCTGTTGCTTGAATAAAGCGTCAGCTGAACCGTCGTATTTCAAGTGGTGGAAGGTGCTTCCCGATCTCTTCAATCTCTCTCTATCCAAAGCCAGCTCCTGGAGCTCCGTTTGGGACGTCGCTTACGCCAGCAGAGCACCATGACGCAAGAGCAAGCCCAACCGAACCACCTGCCGGCGCAACCACCCGCCGGCGCAACCACCCGCCGGCGCAACCACCCGCCGCCAACCCTAGCTCGGTCAACAACCCCCCTCGGGAGCCTTCAATCCTTTCCGGTCTGCCAGGTTAAAATGTCGAAGACTGGCTCGACAACTATGACCGCGTAGGTGTTTACAACAACTGGAACGAGGCATCGAAATTAGCACGCGTCCAGTTTTACGTCTCTCAGGTTGCCAAGACGTGATTCCTAAATCATGAGAGCGACTTCCGCGATTGGTCTTCCTTCAAAGACCAGCTCCGACACATTTTGGGCACACCGACCGTCCGTTCAGAAGTTGCTCGGAAGAAACTGGCAGAACGCGTTCAACATTACAGTGAGTCCTACACTTCCTATATTGAGGATGTGCTCGCACTTTGCCGCAGTATCGACGACACCTTGCAAGAAGGTGATCGTGTCCGGCACCTTCTGAAGGGTATCGGACCTACCGCTTTCAACGCCCTCGTCGCGCACAACCCTTCGACGGTTTCCGACGTCGTCTCTGTATGCCAGCGGCTTGATACCTCGCAGTCAATCCGCCTGCGGCCCTACTTTTATGAGAACCCCCTGGCAAACAGTATAGAGCTCCGATCCATCATTCGTGCCATAATTCGTGAGGAACTTCAAGCCTACAGTTTGCCTCCTCCTAACAACATTCCCGCTCAACCCGCGTCTAGCGATCTGCGTGGCATTATTAGGGAAGAAATGTCAGCGTTTCAAAGCACCCATTGTGCTCCACCATGCCCCCAACCCGCTTCGTATGCACAGATCGCTTTAATGCAACCCTCGCCGTCTCAAGTACCACCACCTGTGCCTGATCACGAACATCTCGCACCTCTAGTCGCCCGTCCACCGAACCCTACCTACCATTCTTCCTGGCGAGCCCCATGGCCTATTTGCTACTACTGTGGAATTCAAGGACACGTTTCCCGTGTCTGTCGACGTCGGCAGCAAGATGAACATCTGGTTATGCCGCTTTTGAACGGGACGACACATGTGCTCAACGTTACTACCGCTATGCCGACAGTCCTTCCAACCATCGATCCCCGTCTCCTGTGCGCATTTCCAACGCGACAAAAAATACACCTGCCACCCGACCGCGCTCCCCTCCGCCGCTCTGTTTCACCACTTTGACCTGTCTCTCAACTGGCTGCCCACCGATCGGAAAACTAAACAGTGCAGTTTTTGGAAGGAAAACTGCATCGCGGTGAAATGACCCAAGTCCTCCTGAACGACCGTCAAACATGTTACTGGTGACTGTGCAAGGTGTGCGGGTGTTGGCTTTGTTGGACACGGGAGCAACAATTTCAGTTATGCGTGCCCACTTGTGTTCTCGATTGCAGAAAGTGAAGACACCCTACCTTGGATCATCTTTGATTGGGGCAAATGGAGCAATAATTAGACCATCGGCCCAATGTACAGCGCGTGTCTTCATTGATGGCATTCGTCATCACATCACCTTCACTGTCTTAATTTCATGTGCTCATGAACTAATTTTAGGTTGGGACTTCCTCTTCGGCATCTGCATTAATTTCTCGCCGTCAACGTGTAGTCGAGATGACCGAGACCGATCACTGCAGCGAACGCGTCGACGAAAAACCATGGCGTTTTTTCACAGCTTCCGATACCATACTGCTCCCGGGTCAGGAGCAACTCATCACCATCACTTCTCCGAATATTGCCAATGGTGACGTCCTTATCACCCCTTCCAGCCACTGTCTAGCTCGCGGCGTTGTAGTCCCCTCCAGCCTGGTGCGGTTCAACGACAGTGCTGCGATAATCCTTGGCCTGAACCCTACCCTGGAGCCTGTCCTTCTACCCCAAGGTTCTGCAGTGTTATGTGGATACCCAACCGGTATCTTTGGCCTCTCGTGTCGCCTTGAGAGCACAGCCACAACAGGCCCAGTCTGTTACTTTCTCCTCCTTTGTTCCCGGGATAAATCCTGACCTTTCTGCTTCTCAACGCGAGGCGTTGCTAAATTTGCTAACGAAACACCAGGCCTCCTTCGACGCCAATGCTTCGGCACTAGGACAGACCACTGTTGCGCATCATCGCATCGACACTGAAGGTCAGACTGTTGTACGCCGTTGACCCTACCGAGTCTCCTTGGCCGAGAGCAAAATCATCGAGGAGAACGTGACCAATATGCTAAAAAGAAACATCATACGACCCTCTACCAGTTTTTGGTCATCACCTGTTGTGTTGGTACAAAAGAAGGATGGATTGGTACGATTTTGTGTTCATTACTGCGTGCTCAACAAGATTACCCGAAAGGATGTATATCCGATACCCCGTAAAGATGATGCACTTGATTCATTGCAAGGCGCCCAATACTTCTCCACTCTTGGCCTTCTGTCCGGGTATTGGCAAATACCAATGGACGAAGCAGACAAAAAAAAAGACCACCTTTTCTATGCTGGACGGTCTTTACGAGTTTAACGTAATGCCATTCGGCCTATGTAATGCTCCAGCCACTTTTGAAAGAATGATCGACACTGTTCTTCGTGGCCTCAAGTAGAAAACTTGTCTATGCTCGATGATATCGTCGTGTTTTCTTCCACTTTTGCTGATCATCTGCAACGCCTAGATCAAGTGCTCACATGTCTCTCCTATGCTGCACTTCAACTAAACACAAAGAAGTGCCATTTTGGCAACACAGCTATAAAAGTTCTAGGACATCTCGTTAGTAAAGCTGGCATCCAGCCCGATTCGGACAAAATTTCCGCAGTCCTCAACTTTCCGCGACCCTTTCGTTTCAAAGAACTACGCGGTTTCCTTGGACTCGCATCGTACTTTCGCCGCTTCATTCGCAACTTTGCCACTATTGCTGCTCCTCTCCAAAAGCTCCTTGCTAGTACTAGTTCCTTCGATTGGAATGATCAATGCAAAGCCTCATTTCAAGAGCTCAAGCAGGCACTGACATTCCAACCGGTTCTTTGTTATTTCGATGACAAGGCACCTACGATATTACACACTGACGCTAATGGACGAGGAATCGGCGCCGTACTCCTCCAGCGCGACCATGCCCCCAAATGCCAGGCTCCGGAAACAACTCCGACTATTCAAATTGGAGGACGATGTGCTATATCGATACATTTTCCACCCGGAAGGCCACCGATGGGTTCTCGTCGTACCACACGCACTACGCACTGAAGTTCTGCGCGCTTCCCACAAAGACCTGACGTCAGGACACTTGGGTCACTACAAAACATACAAACGCATCCGCAGTAGATTCTTCTGGCCAGGTCTTTCTACGACGGTAGCTGAATATATTATCTCGTGCGCACTTTGCCAACACCACAAGCGGCCCACTACCGCTCCAGTCGGGACCCTACAACCACTTCCTTGTCCATCAGAGCCATTCTTTGTCGTTAGAATTGACCTCTTCGGGCCCCTCCCAACTACATCAGACGGCAAGAAATGGGTCCTCACCGCGGTTGATCACTTGACCCGGTACGCTGAGACGGCTTAGATCATTTCAGGAACTGCTTCGGAAGTAGCAACTTTCTTCTTGAATGCTATTTACTTATGTCACGGAGCCCCTCGTTTTCTTTTGAGCGACCGGGGCAAGGCATTTCTTTCAAGCACGCTCAGTGAAGTTCTTCAAGCATCAAAAACATTGATTGATTTGTGGGGTTTAACGTCCCAAAACCACCATTTGATTATGAGAGACGCCGTAGTGGAGGGCTCCGGAAATTTTGACCACCTGGGGTTCTTTAACGTGCACCCAAATCTGAGTACACGGGCCTACAACATTTCCGCCTCCATCGGAAATGCAGCCGCCGCAGCCGGGAATCGAACCCGCGACCTGCGGGTCAGCAGCTGAGTACCTTAGCCACTAGACCACCGCGGCGGGGTCATCAAAAACAGTTCATAAAACATTATCTAGCTATTACCCACAAACTAATGGCTTAACGGAAAGATTTCATCGCACGCTGTGTGACATGCTCTCCATGTATATCCGACCGGACCATCGCAATTGGGATGCCATACTTCCCTTTGTCACGTATGCATATAATACGTCAGTTCTACGAACCACAGGCTATTCTCCATTTTTCCTAGTATACGGACACCAACCGACATCACCACTCGACGTTTCATTTTTTTCTGGCCCCGTCAACTCTTCACCATTCGTTTGCGACCAGTTTCTGTCCTGTGTTGCTCAATGCTGTCGTCTTGCCCGTGTAAACACCGAAGCTAGCCAAGAAGATCGCAAACATCATTACGATGCCACTCACCGCGTCGTTCTCTACCGCCCTGGCGACG